GGCTTAGAACCTTTATTCATCAGGGGTCACCACAGCGGAATGAACCGCCAACTTATCCAGCATATGTTTTACACAGTGGATGCCATTCTAGCTGCAACCCAACACTGGGAAACACCCATACACTCTCATACACTCTTGCATTCACAAACATACACTACAGCCATTTTAGTTTATTCATTTCCCCTACAGCGCATGTGTTTGGACTGTGGGGGAAACCGGAGAACTTGGAAGAAACCTACAACAACCCAGAGAGAACATGCAAACTCTACACAAAAATGAGAACTGACCCAGCCGGGGCTCGAACCAGCAACCTTCTTGCTGTGAGCTGATCGACCCACTGCGCCACCGTGATGCCCCACTACTTTTTTTCATAATTAACAGAACAGTGACTCAAAGCCACGATATGTATAATTTTTTCATTCAAATATCCATGAATGTGATTTGTGTCCCATAGTATGTAACGGAGACTGCCATGATTTCACACTCTCACTTCGTCAAACTACACCTCCTCCTCCTCCTACTACTACTAATCACTCCTTTTCAGCCCTGGGGTTTCAAGCCTTAAGCCTGATTTATACTTCTGCGTCAGGTGACCGGCGTAACCCACGGCGCATGCAACGCGCGTGGCTGTGCATTTATACTTCTGCGCGCTGTCTCTGTTGGTCTGCATTAACAATTCCGAAACGCTAGTTGGCAATATATATATGTAGAATTTTTTTTTTCTATTAATAAATAAACTGGGCTTTCAAAAATTTATCAGAGAAAGAGTTGGGCCCCAAACTAAAAAAGGTTGAGAACCCCTAATCTAAACGTCACCAACATTATACCTTTGCTCATGCTTTTTATTCATGTTTTTACCCTTAAACAAAGACAGTGAAATAGAATATTGTGGGGTCTTTCAGCAGTGTTGTGTTTCTCTCTTCTGCTCTTCTGGGTGTCAAACACACCCAAAACACACCCACTTCAGCTTGTCAACTATTTACTGTGGCTGCTGAATTAATCAGAGCAAACATGTGAAATATGCAGCGCTGAGACCCCAGCTAAAGCACAGAGGAGCACTGCCATAGGCAATGTACAAGCTTCCTTCAAGTTTCACACCTTTTACTGTAAAACACAAAACTCATGGGTGTAGGCCAGTTTCTTGGCAATTGCTGGCAAATCACTTATGTAAAATCAGCCAGTAAACAGTATTAAAAAGACGAACCAACAACCAACAGACTCAGGCCCCGTTTACACTAGTGCATTTTAGTTTTAAAACAGCGTTTTAGATCAAAAACTATCTGCGTCCACACTTGCGTTTCACCTAGCATTTCTGAACATATCTCCGTCCACACTACGCCACCAAAAACGTTTATCACGTGACCATTCGCGCACTCTGGGCATGCGTGTTCTAGTATAAACAGGAAGCATGCGTCTTGCTCGGCATTTGGTTATTGTTTTTACAACAAACGCCGGTTGAACAATGAACGCGATGGCAAAGAAAGCAAGAGAGGTATTTTTGTGGACAGGCGACGAGGTCGAGTTGTTACTAAACGTAACAAATGAATAACTGCACAATGGTGCCTAAAACAGACAATAGTGCAAACAACGCTCCCATTTCTGTGTCCATGTTGTTGTTTACAGTGAAGGCTGGTCTGCTGTCTTCCGGTAGCATTAAAGCCATGTGTTATAGTCATGTGATAGGGGCTTGACGAATAAGGGAAGGATACGCAATGACACAAAAGCCCCAATCAGATAGGTGAATCTCAGCAGCCCCGCCTCCGTTTTCAGATGTCTCTGTTTTCCCTCATCCACACTGAGACGCAGCAGCAGCGTTTCAGAATGAGAACAGCTTCTCCAGCGTTTTCAAAACGCTCGGTTTTCGGTGCTCGAAAACTCCGGCGTAGTGTGGACGGATGGTGCAACCGTAGCAAAACTTATGCGTTTTCAAACTAAAATGCATTAGTGTAAACGGGGCCTTAAAAAAGTAAAATAAAAGATAACTTCCTATAACTTCCGGGTCTTTTAAACACCTAACACAATATCTTTTGTCTATATTTTGTAAATAAGTGCACTACCACACTCAAAAAATGGCTTTTGCTGCTTGTACAAGCTACTTATTTAATAGGAGTTGAACCAACACAATTATTGAGGCAACTTTTAATGTACAATCCACTTAAATTTGTAGTTACCTTAAGTTAACTTAACTGATTTGTGTTGTGACAACATGAAGGTATTGTGTTGAACCCAGCATTTTATACAGTGCACAGACTATTTTTGTTGATGTAAAAATATACCTCATTTTATTTTATAGCCTTGTTTATCCTTAATAAAAATATGAAATTGTATACAATGCTATGTGGTTAAAAATGTGGGTGCGCCTAACTTTTGCGCTGGTGCACCCAAGACGAAACGTTAGGCGCATCAGTGCAACCAGTGCAAAAAGTTAATCTAGAACCCTGTAAAATCTGATTTCTTTTATCATCTGCCATGATGACAGCAGATTATATTTGACTAGATATTTTTCAAGACACTAGTATACAGCTTTAAGTGACATTTAAAGGCTTAGCAAGGTTAACTAGGCAGGTTAGGGTAATTATGAAAGTCATTGTATAACAGTGGTTTGTTCTGGGGACAATCAAAACAAATATTGCCTGGGGGCGGGGTAATAATATTGACCTTTAAATGGATTTTAAAAGTTAAAAACTGCTTTTATTCTAGCCGAAGAAAAGCAAATAAGCATTTTTCCAGAAGAAAAAATATTATAGGAAATACTGTGAAAAATTTCTTGTTCTTTTAAACATCGTTTGGGAAATATTTGAGAAAGCAAACTAAATTCACAGGAGGACGAATCATTTTGACCCCAACTCCAAGCAAGAGCAAATTTCCTTGAACATCTGCAAGTGACATTGTAAAGCATATCATTAAACAAAATAATAATGTCTTGTTTAGAGTCATCTGTAGAGTGTGTGGACGGTGTTGTTCTGGCTCTCACCTCCTGTTTCAGCTGCTCCATCAGCATCTGCTGGTCTAAAGCTGAACTACTGCTGCTCTCCAGAGTAAAGTTCCCTCTGAAGAGACGCGGCACCACAAACGAGGATCTGTCATATGTCTCATCCACGTCGTCCTCCACTGTAAAACACAAAGATTTGCAAAACACAAAATTTAAAAATTATAGTTCTGCAGGAACCATTTACAGAAGGATTTTTTAATAACTTAAATTTAATTAATTAATTCTAGTTCTACAGGAATTATAACAAAATAATTAATTAAATTAAGTAATACTTGAGATAAGCCGAGTTCTACAGGAATTATTCATTCATTCATTCATATTCCTTTGGCTTAGTCCCTTATTAATCAGGGGTCGCCACAGTGGAATGAACCGCCATCTTATCCAGCATATGTTTTACACAGCAGATGCCTTTCCAGCCGCAACCCAACACTGGGAAATACCCATACACACTCATCCACACTCATACACTACGGCCAATATAGTTAATCCAATTCCCCTATAGCGCATGTGTTTGGACTGTGAGGGAAACCGGAGCACCCGGAGGAAACCCACGCCAACATGGGCAGAACATGCAAACCCCACACAGAAATGCCAACTGGTCCAGCAGGGACTCAAACCAGCGACCTTCTTGCTGTGAGGCGAACGTGCACCGCGTCACCTTAGAGGGAATATTTTCCATCTTATTACGAGTTTTTGTTCTGACCAACACTTAAAATTTTTATTTTAGAAACATTTATTAAACATCCAAAAGGTGCACCATACTAAAAAAAACAAACAAACAAACAAACAAACAAACATTTAAATAGAACTAATGCAAGCAGAAATGTAACTGTGATAGAAAATGGGGAACTTGATATGGTATTATAGACTACTGTACTGTTCACTCTTCAAATAAATCTCACTTATCATGGCAACTAAAATAAAGTGAACTAGTGTCTGCTGTATAGTGTTTTGTAAAGTACTTCAATTAATATGTCATGGTGATACTATAGTTGCTATGGTAGCACAACAAGTTTAATATAAACAAATTACCCAGTGCTGTGTTTGTTTTTTTTACAATATAGGGTATATTATTCTACAATTCACCACACTTTACTGTACTAAACCTACACTGTATTTCATTTCATCAGTTCACTATTCTTAATACTACAGTATGCTGAAGCATCTCTGCAGAGTAAAAGCTTGAAAGGAGGAGGAAACACAAGACACATAAATCCGCATCATCCGACAGATCAAGAGCAGATCATTCGCATGTGAGCAGCCAGTGTTTTGAGACCTCGCAAGCAGTTTTGTCTAAGAACAGGGAAAAACCGGCCCGTGACATTCGCTTTCCTGTATTACATGAATGCACTCCCGATTTGTAATACTGCACTTATGACATTTGTCAGTGAAATAATGCCATACTCCGCCAGCCAAAATCATGTGGTGCGCACCCAAAAAAGAATTTAAATGAGCATTAGATTAAGCGTTACATGGAAATAAAAAAATAAGACCTGTGCAAAAACATTTAAGACCTAGAAGAGCGAATTTAAGACTTTTTAAGGCCTTAAATTTCGATTTTTAAACTAAGACTTTAAGACCCCACACAAACCCTGTACAATTTCATCTGCTTACCTAATATTTATATTCGTAATATTTATATTATTAGCTAATTACTAACCACCTCATGTGGAACTCTGAATCTGCATCTCATTTCGGAGTCGGCTACTGTCCACTGGAGGTTGCATTTCGGTTACGGATGCATTCTTAGAGAGCCTTTATGATTGATGAATTAAATACGCTGTTTTCCACCAAGGCAACCCGGGGTGCTGAAATACAATTGGCTAAACTGGCATTTTGTGGGTTAAAAGGGACCAAAACAAAGACAGATGTTTTAGCACGGAAAACACATTAATCAGAGTATTGTCTTAATCATATTAATATCAGAGTATTGCAATCTATGTAAGCCTACTCAATGAAACAGAAAAAGCACAAGTACCTGCACACACAACGACTGTGGTCGCAATAACCACAACTATGGCACTGACGATGAGAAGTATCACCATCCATAATCTGATTTTCCACACCACCACCTCATTGAGGTCTTTCTTCAGGCTCTGCAGCTCCCGCCGACACTGTAAACACAGAAGTTATCATACTGTACGTCAGTGTCATTAATGAGCTTATTCTGCGATGTGGAAGTGCGCTCGTTTCTGTGATTGTTTTAGATCCTCCCATTCAGTCGCCTATAGGAGAAAGGACTAGGTATAATAGATGTAATAAAATGCTCTACAAATAAGATTGTACATATCAAGTAGAATAACACAATAAGAAAAGATCAACTTGCAACTACAAGCAGCATTACGGGCTGTTTTTAACGTTAAATTCTCAGATTAGGTCTGTCTGAGGTACTGGGCGGGGCTGACATACTCAACCACGCCCCCTCCAGCTGTCAGTTCTGACAACAAACAAAAATAGTGAGCAGGAAGTGTCTGTTAGGTTGTAATAACTCACCCCAAACCCCTTTCCAGATCTTTCAGAATGAAACGCCTACTTTACTACATCCAATCAGCTTGCAGTAGAAAAACAAGCCACGCCCACTGCTTTCCAATTTAATATTCAGTTTCTCTAGGAACTGCATCACAATATAAAAAAAATGGTCGCAGCTTCTGATTCATGCGGACTTTAACGTCTAAAAATCAATAAGGCCCCGTTTAAGCCTGGTTTATACTTCTGTGTCAAGTGACCGGCGTAACCCACGGCGCATGCAAGGCGCGTAGCTGTGCATTTATACTTCTGCGCGCTTCTGCTTCTGTTACTTCTGTTGGTCTGCATTAACAATTCTGAAACGCTAGTTGGCAGTGAGGTGTAAATGTTCCTCTGTGTCGAGTTTCTTCGCTCGTGTTTTGCTTTTCCTGAACACTTCCTGAATGTACAAGTGGCTCAAACTCGCTCATTTTGAGGCAGGAACCGGCGGACGTGCAACAACTTTAACTATGAGGTAAACACAAAACAAAACTTTCCATCCGGCGCGGGAATTCCTTCACGGGACTCCACACTTGTAAACAATCGCTCCATCGGGCTCGCGCCATTCGTGCGGCTCTCGGTCCCGCCCAGATTTGCCAGTGCTACCAAGCTGACCAATCACAGAGCTTACGCTACGCGTCGTTGTGACATGTAGTTAAATTTTTTGAGAGGTGCACGTCAGTGACACCGACAGCCACGGCGTAGGGCTATGCGTCAACGCCGTAGCATACGCGTGCGTTTGATGCAGAAGTATAAATCAGCCTTTAGACTGTCAGGTCTTGATGCCCACCTCGATTTGTTGCCTATATCTGATTTTTTTGGTCTGCCTGTTTACACGATTCTTTAATTGTGATCTGATTTATATGTTAACATTTGCCATGGGGGATTGTGTGTAGAATGTTGAGGAAATAAATGAAGTGAATTCATTTTGGAATAAGGCTGTAACATAAACAAATGTGGAAAAATTGAAGCGCTATCAATACTTTCCAGATGCACTGTATGAAGGAGGCCTGAAAGTATTCTCTGAATATCTGAATGCATGTGTTTTTTTTTTTTTGGTGTTTACACATAGATCTGATCTGTGTCACATATAAGCAAAAAATCAGGAAATGGGTCACAGGTAATTAGCAGTGTAAACAGGGCGTAAGACAGATCTGGATGCTTAAATAAAGCATGTACATAACCATTGTCTCATTAAATAAATATTCATTTTTTAGCTTGTTTTAAGGAAAAACTTACTTCATTTTGACTCATTATTTCTGAAAACAAGACAATAGTTTTTGCTTGTCTACAAAATGCTTCTAGATTTAGGAATATTTAGATATTTGGACTAGAAACAAGACTAAAACTCTAAGTAAGAAAAGCATTTTTCATAATTGAGGCAACAGTTGTTGCTTTTTTTATCAGCGTTACCTTTGAGGTTTTAGGTGAAGGATCGTTATGATCAACAAAAACTCCATCCAGTTCAATCCCTTCTACATTATTCTCCAAACTCTGAAAACACACAAATCCAGACAAACAGGTCAAACTAAACCAAGAGATCAGTTTTCTGCAATGTAAATGCGTATTCATATACTGAGACATTATATAAATGAGTGATATCAATGCATTTCATCAACATGTTCAATAGATTAATTGAGAAATCCATATCTACACAGTAAAAAAAATCCATATATGAGCTGTTTTCCATATTTTGTGATTTATGTCTTTATTTTTGATGTTTCCCCGTTTGTTTCTGCTTTTGAATTGCATTATTGGAATTGATCTCTCTTTCAATACCATCTAATATTGAAAAGTTTTTTTAAAAAGTGACTTTTATTAGCATTTTTAATAGTATACAGCTGATATACTGTCTGTGTTGGTGGTGTATATTATGCTACAAAAACCTCATTATAAACTGCCAGTAGTTTTCTGTTATTTTACAGACTTATTTCTCTATATATTATTATTTCTTGTGCATTATATTATTTCAAACGACTAAAATAAATAAATAAAAGTCACTTCGTTAAACAGTACAGCTGAATTATCAGCATCAAAAGTGGACAGAGCAGAGACCAACATCTCATAATGCAATTCGCAACCGTAAATAAACACTTGTGAATCACAAAATAATAAACAAACTTTATATATATATTATTTACACCGTACTCGACAAAATTGTACACCTGTAACGTAATAACCACATACTGTGTAGGCTACATCAATTTTATTTGTGCTGTTTTATGTTTTGTTAACCATTGTCTTATGCACTTCTGTAAAAATAGTAATATATATATATATATATATATATATATAAATGATTTATTTCTCTTCACCATGATGACAGTAAAC